ATCAATATTGTTCACTATTTCCCTGTTGATCATTTCAACATAAGCATCCCCCTTTTGGGAGCAGGAGGTGATGATTGGGCAAGGTACCACCATGACTGTTTGTCCCCCAAGGGACCCGCTGCTCAGGGCATTGGCAATCAGATATGGAGCCTTCCAGCTGACTCAGACCAATACGGGCAAACTTGTTACCAGCGGATGCTGTTTAGTAGCATGAAATAAGCTGGTGGCTTCCATTCCAATATCCTCAGCTCAAAAGCAGGCACCACCGCACCATGGCCCATCCCCCGCTGGTCCTCCCAACAGAAGTCAAGGAGCCTTGGAGAGTGAAATACCCTCTCAACTTCCTTCCAATTAGGAGAGATGCAAAATGGTGAGCACCAAGGGAAGGCCTGAATGTGACAGTGTGCTCTCACTTCCTGCCAGCCAGGACTTGCAGCACATCAAAACCATCTGGAGGTATCCCTGGGGCTAATGCTGCAGCATCCCATATGACTGTTCATGTCTCGCCAGGGGGCTGTGTTGTATACTGGGGCGATTTGTGCCCCAGTGGCATGACATGACATCACGAGTTCCCAATCTTTATTCCATGGTTTACATTATCTGTGCTGAGTCACTCTCCCTCCCCGGCACCCCAGCAGCGGCAGCACCAGCACCACAAACTCTGAGAGGCAATGTGAAACCCCCCGTCCAACAACGGGCAGACCAGTTCGCAGTGCTATTGACCCTGGAGGCCTACACAGCTGCAAAGGGCTTAATGACTCTGCCGGTACTTGCCTTGTCTAAGCAGCAGTTCTGCAGAAAAGGACCTGGGGATTACAGTGGATGAGAAGCTGGATAAAAGTCAGCAGTGTGCCCTTGTTGCCAACAAGGCTAACGGCATATTGCACTGCATTAGTAGGAGCACTGCCAGCAGATCAGGGGAAGTGATTATTCCCCTCTATTCGGCCCTGGTCAGGCCACATCTGGAGTATTGCATCCAGATTTGGGCCACCAACTACAGAAAGGATGTGGACAAATTGGAGAGAGTCCAGTGAAGGGCAATGAAAATGATCAGAGGACTGGGGCACATGGCTTACAAGGAGAGGCTGAGGGAACTGGGTTTGTTTAGTCTGCAGAAGAGAAGAGTGTGGGGGGATTTGATAGCAGCCTTCAACTACCTGAAGCGGGGTTCCAAAGAGGATGGAGCTTGGCTATTCTCAGTGGTGGCAGATGACAGAACAACGAGCAATGGTCTCAAGCTGCATTGCGGGAGGTCTAGGTCGGATATTAGGAAACACTATTTTACTAGGAGGGTGGTGAAGCACTGGAATGGGTTACCTAGGGAGGTGGTGGAATCTCCATCCTTAGAGGTTTTTAAGGCCCGGCTTTGAGCAGGGGGTTGGACTAGATGACCTCCTGAGGTCCCTTCCAACCCTGATATTCTATGATTCTATGACAAAGCCCTGGCTGGGATGATTTAGTTGGGGTTGTTCCTGCTTTGAGCAGGGGGTTGGATTAGATAACCTCCTGAGGTCTCTTCCAACCCTAATCTTCTATGGTTCTATGAAACCACATTTGCCCTGCAGCATTGCACTGGTACCTTACTATGATACAACCCAGCAATACACGGCATCAGGTGACTCTTTGGTTCCATGAGCTAACATTGCTAAGCGGGCACCTTACACCAGCGCTTTGAAACAGACAGAGGCAGGCAGTTCCAAAAGAAGAACCGACCCAGGCTTCCTCCTGAAACTCAAACCCACGTCTTTTTTGAGGTCCGCAAAACAAATGTTCAATTCACATTTCTTTGTGGGTTTGTTTCCACCGCTGCATTCCTATGATTCAGCTGGGACTGGAAACACCCAAATCATCAAAACAAAAATCCATCTGTGAGCCGAGACCAGGTTGTTTTGGGAATCTAATGGGATCTCCTCTTTGCCAGGACTCAACTCACAGAACTTCAGCAAAGTTAGTGGAGCCCAAAGAATCCCTCAGTGCTTTCCCCATTTTCTGCTTCTCCATTGTGGGCCAAATGAAGTTTTAGTCTCACTCCGGCACCTCCCATGAAGTCACAGCCTGAGATGCAGGCCTGAGGGGAGGTGTTTGTGGGGGTGTCCAGCTCTCAGGGTTGCCTCCAGAATCTCAGGACTTTTGAGTGTGGAGGCCACAGGAGACACGGCTACAGTACTGCTGCCATGCAAGTGACGCTACAGAAGGAGGAAAGAACCTGTCCAGGCAGCCACAAAGACAGTTTCTGAGCCCCACTTGTGCCTGGCTTCACTTAGTCAGAAATGTGTAATTGTCCCCGTTACAAATCATTTCATGTCATCTTTCTCCCACGTGGTGTCAGCCAAGGAGAACATCATGGGCATTCCAGTCTCCCACCGAAGGCAGGTTCTGAGCTACCCCAGGGCTGGATCTGGACCTTTGGCAATGACAGCAAGCTGAGACAAGCGGTGACAGCCCCAATGGGAACATTAAGAAAAATGTATTTGTAAACTCCACTGGCTTGTCCGCTGTGTCCGGAGCAGGTCTTGGAATAAGGCACTCTGCAGATCACCCCTGGTCCTGCCTGCCTGGCTCAGGGCTGGAGTCCAGCTGCCGAGACTCACGCCCTCCGCGTTGGCTTCATCCAACCTTCCATCATGACAGCACCTTCCATTTAGGCCACCTTTGCCCAGCTACCGAGGCTCAGGCTGGGCCTAGCCCCACGCCCCGGTGGGGCCAGCTTAGCCTCCAGAGGTGCAGGGCCCCTAGAACGGGGCTGTAGGGGGATTCGCAGGGGTGGCAGCAAGGGAATGCCAAGGCTGTGCAAAACGAATGGCCAGGTGGGCCCTCTCCCTTTAATTGGTGCTAATTGCTGCATTTGTTCGGGCTGGCTGGCAAGATGTCATTGTTGAAAGACACAGAGGGGAAGGCTTGAGGAGCTAATCCGGCTTTCAGCCGCTAAGCCCTTTGGAGGCGTGTGATGGAGGAGCTCTTTCAGGGCCCTTCACAGAGGGCACAAAGCCTGAGAGGGGAAAGGGAGGCAGAGGGGATGGAGTCGACAGGAAAAACTTTCACACGGCAGCTCTGCTAAGCCGCCTTTGTGTGTGTGGCGGGCTTGTCAGGGACATCTTAAAGGGCCAGCGCTTCTCTCCCTCCTCCTCCTGGCTTTTCTTTTCTCTATCTTTTCAGTTCCATCTGCCAAAGGACTGACCCCAATGGTGGGGGGTGGTGGGAAAGAAGGAGCAATCTCCTCGGATATTTCTGGAAGGGATGGCGAACATTACCTGCCTGTGAGGGACCTCTTCAGCCTCCTCTCTCCTGGGGAGGTCAGGGGATACTCTGCTGTCTCAAGCATGGACATGGATGGTCAAGGACCAGCCAAGCAGTTCAGTGATGCAATCAGAACCCAGAGGTGAAGGTGGGGGTGGGGTGGGGTGGGAGGCAAACCTCACGAGGTTCAGAGGCTGGGTTTGGAAAACATCCTCAAAACCCAGACCCTAATCTGAATCCCTCAGCTCCCGAGTCTCCTCTATCTTAACAAACCACTTTACACTGGCTCCAGTGGAGTTACTCTTGACATATACTAGATAGAATAGATTGCTACAGCCAGGGTGACTAGCAGAAGCTATTCTTAAGCTTGCCCAGTTATTCCCATTTTATTATTCTTTTTTCAGTTCATGATTTTCCTAAAGATTCACCGTTCAGTCCCGAATTTACCAGATTTGGCTTCGTTTGCTTGCTTGTTTGAGCAAAACTGAATTAACCAGTTTTGAGACTGAGGGGTGGGGAGGAACACACTAGCTTATACATTTTCAAAACAGCAACTAACTGTTCTTGGGAGCCCAGCTTTAGACACTGACCCACAAGCCATTATAAAAGTACTCTTGCAATATTGTTTTGAACAGGAAGTTGGGCTCTTATAAACAATACATTAAATATAAAAAAACCTAACAAGCTTCTCCAATGTCCTCTAGACACATTCATTAGCCTCCCAAGTGGCTGCATAATCATATGGTTTTCTCCTCCTCCTTTCCCTCTGGTTCCCCTATGAGACTCAGACTTCAATTCTGATTTCACTTATACCAGAGTTACACTGAAGTAATCCAATTTGTTACACTGGAGTAACTCCTCATTTACACCCAGTGTAAGTGAGAGCAGCATCAGGCCCTGATCAATTTTTAATTGTGTTGTAAAGTGCTGTGCTTGACATTTATGGCATCATTCGAGTAATAAATCGTAACAATAACTTTCCAGGGTACTTTGGTGCTTTTGCATCTGGCTGATTCATGGAAGATGCAAAGACACCTACAAGAATGAAGCATAATAAAGGGGGGGGAAATGAGTTACTTGAGCTTTTCCAAACCTCTAAAAAGGTTGAGGTTTGTTATGAATTTTAGGTGCAGCTCTAATAGGTGTGATGGCTGAGGGGATTTTTAATCTATCCAGCCCAAAGCAGCTGCTCTCTAGGAGAACCCAAGCGCTGTGCTCAGTAAGGAAGTAATTGATCTGAAAAGCAGAACACTGGGCCAAAGTTATCCCTGGTGTAACTCCACTGACCACTCTGGAGAGGCACTGTTGATGAGTGTGAGATAGGGGATGGCTACACTGCAATCATATGTGTGACTGCAGCACATGCAAACATACCTGAGCTGGCTTTGAGCTAGCTGGCTCAAATAACCATAGCAGTGAAGCCCTGGGCAATAAAGCAGCAGCTTGAGTACATACCCAGGGTCCCAGCCGGCCTTGTGCAGCCCTCACTGCCTCAGCTTCCCTACTATTAGTACCCACACTAGCTAGATCAACGCTAGCTCAGGTCTGTCCGTATGTGCTGCAGTGTAGACATACCCATAGACAGACAGAAAATACTGAGCCACATTCATCCCTGGCATTGCTCCATTGATCATTCTGGAGATACCATGTTGATAAGTGTTATATAGACAGACAGAATGCTGTCTGAGTGCATCTGCCCCTGCTTCTCTGCACACACTCCCAGATCTGATTGTGGTGGGCGAGGAAGAGGAGCAATCTCTTACCTAGACACTCATTGGCCTCCCTGGCGTTGGCCCTCTGCCACGGGCGGTCATAATGGAAGGGTTTGCAGCGGTCACATTCGGGGCCCTCAGTGTTGTGCTTGCAGTCACACACGAGCTTGCCCTCCTTGTCCTTCACGCAGCGGGAGGCATGCCCATTGCACTTGCACCGCCCCCCGACCTGGAACTCACCCACGGCATAATAGTATGAAAACGAGCCGGTCCCGCCATCGTCCTCCTCATTGTCCCGGCCCCCCAGCTCCCGGAACAAATGGGGGCGGCTGAAAATGACCCGGATGTCCGTAGCTGTCACCCAATCCTGGAGCACTGGGCTGTTGTCAAAGTCTTGGGCGGAGGGCCGTCCGTCCAGCGTGCTGAAGGCAATGAGGCCCCCAGTAAGCGGGTACAGATCTGTGTGGCCATCAGTGCACAGCGCCTCCTGCTCATTTTGCTTGGTGACGGTGGCTTTGTTGGGCTTGCCGTAGATCTTCCGGCACTGGGAGGAGTAGTACTGGTAAGGCACCCAGGTCTTGCCATAATCCATAGATTTTAAAATGGCTGCTGACTCAGGTCGGGCCGAGCAGAACTGCAGGCTGACATAAATCACCTCAAACTTCTTGGCCAGGGAGAGGGTGAGCGTGACATTCTGAGGGGAAAGGTGCAGGCTCTCGGAGCGCCAGCACGTCATGTTGGAGGCAGTGTTGAGGTCCGTGAGGTAAGATGCCGGGTGGGCTTTGCGGGGGTCTGAGGCATCGCAGTGGTGAGTGGGAGGCTTCCCACACGTGCTGGAGGCCTGCACTTCCTTCCCAAAGGCAGCATTGACAAACTCGGGGATGCAGCGCCGGGGGGCGCTGTTCTCATCGTAGCAAGGGTCGGATGCAGTTTGCTGCACCACAAAGGGGTTGATTGTCTGGGACAGGCCGAACACACAGGCGGTAAGCAGCAGCCGTAAGAGGTGCAAGAGATCCATCCTCGCCGGACAAGCTCTCTCCAAGACACACAAGCCAAATCCTCCCTAAACATAAAGCAAAGGAGCAGTGAATCACACATTCCAACCCCCAAGGTCTGAGCTCCCTTTTGGCAGGTAGAAATGCAGAGGCCAAACCAGTGTTTGGAGGCTGGCTGGGGGTTATGCCGGTGTCAGATGGCAGAGAACAGCCAGAGCTGATTGATTGGCTATTGCCAGTGCTGGCGAGCATGCAGAGGTCTGAGTCTGATGACATCTCTCCTCTGGGTGCCTTTCTCCCAGATTGTAACCACGGAAAGCAGCCAGATCTCATTTAGATGGCGGGGGGGGGGGGGGGGGGGGGGCTCGGGAAAACTTCCTTTTTGATTTTCCCCCCCCCCCCAAAAAAACCTTGGGACAAAGCCGGCCAGATAGCAAAGGGGCCCG